GTAAGTGGCACCGACACTGACCGACTCTCTCTGCAGGACAACTCCGGCACAATCGAGCGCGATGAGTTCCTCAGCCTTCCCCAGATTTCTTCCAACCCTCTGGCAACAAGGTATGAATTAGGTCGATCGGTACACGACATAGATCAGGCACAATGCTAAGGATGTCTTTACGCAGAATGATTGCCATCTTCGACGAAGACGGTGGCGGTGACGTTGATTTCCAGGAGTTCGTATCAGGTCTCAGCGCCTTTTCTTCCAAGGGAAACAAGGAGCAGAAGCTGCGTTTCGCTTTCAAGGTTTACGATATCGACCGCGATGGTTACATCAGCAACGGCGAGCTGTTTATTGTGCTCAAGATGATGGTCGGAAGCAACTTGAAGGACCAGCAGCTACAGCAAATCGTGGACAAGACCATCATGGAGGCGGACCTCGACAAAGATGGCAAGATCAGCTTTGAGGAGTTCACGAAGATGGTGGAGAACACGGATGTCAGCATGAGCATGACGTTGGGTGAGTTTTGATATTCTGACGTTCAATGCGCTTGATAAAGGCTGACAATACGTTCCAGACACATTCTAGAGAACGAGATCTTGATGGCAAGCGGGATAGGATCATGAGACATGAAATGCAACACTCTTCTGGGTAGAGATACACCAAACCTCCTTTGGGCGGCACAGCAACCGTCGCTCGGTCTGAATTGAAATATGTCTTGGCTTCTGGGCTGCGCACCCTTCCCCGAGGTGACTCTAGGCCGCTGCAATCGCACAAGAAATGTAAGTTACGTGCAGCAAATGACGTCTCAGTGTTCAACTTTGGCTATGGCTAGTGAGAATTGGTACTGCGCAAGGCCAAGCGGGCGAGAAAAGTAAACGTAGTCAACGGTTGGTGGACAACACTAATGGTCTGGTGTAGCTAGCTCCATTCTAGACGCTTCTTTGCCAACCTTTGCAGCTGGACGACAGAACCTAGCGGTTCCGGTGGTGGAAAACTACCTCCGTGATGTGCTCTCGAAATCACCCTTCAAGCACGCACTGCAACAGCCCAATCCCTGTTTCTGGTTGGGCATCAGAGCGCTGTGGCCGGCCCCTAATCGCATCAAGTCGAGAAAGCGATATGCAACGCTGATGGCAGTCCCAGCAGCCGTGAACCGTGCTCTGACACTAGCAACTCTAGGGGAAACGAGTGTAGGATCTGCTGTGGTTGCCGTCAAATCCTGCGAATCGAAGTATAGGTTGTTCCATGCCTTTGGGAGAGAAGTTTCGCTGCGTCAGTTCGTCTGAACGTTCCATCTCAACTTGTCCTTTTCGCCATCTAGAACTATGAGACCGACGTAAATATCCTGCAGCAAGTGCCTAAGCGAGCATATGGTTGTCAGAGATTAGCATCCTCCAATTTCATTCCATGAAACTTAGTCGTTCTCCCTGTTGACTCAGATCGTGCCCACGAGTCGGATGCTATCCATTGTGCTCATCTTGCGTTGAGGCTCATACGAGCATGAGATCTCAAACTGACACCTATATCTACGCCTCCTGCATCTATGAGCGGGGAGTCTCGGGGGGTGCATCGTCCAGAACTTCAATTGTCTTGTGTCGCTACGCACACGGCTTCTACTTAGAGCTTCATCAATTGGTTTTGAAGATCTTTCTGCTTCCTTTCACATATCACCTTCTTTTACCAACTGTTTCACGTGCCCGATGATGTTCAAAGGATGTCTTTGCCTAGATCGAGGACAGAAACATGGAGCAAGCTCTTGCGGAAAGCAGTGGAAATAAGTCTCGGGCGATGCTCGATGATGGCAGGTCCATCTCTATGGTCTGGGGTTTGAAAACCTCCGGGCATCCAAGCGCGCAGCTTTCATCAGAATTTGCTGCTTATCACGAACTTCCGTCAATGACCTTCCTCTGAATTGTGACACATCAACCCGCTTTTCATAACGAACCTGGGAGTTCAAAAATTTGAAATGCAAATCAACTTCAGTGAAGTGCAGCAAGCCCGCTATCAGAAGTGCAACTCCATGAAGGTGCCGTAAAGAGCACCGAGTTCGAGACGATGAAGTCTTGTGAATAGCTTCTATCGCTGTAACGAGAAACTGCATAAAGCCATATTTGATGATTTGTTTGGTATTTATAGTGAGCTTGTAACAGCGAAGTCTGAAATGTAGCACTGGTGGTCGCTTCACTCTTCCCAAGAGCTTTGTCACAGCTCAGGGTCAACGGTGAAAACAAAGGATAATTGAGTAGTCCTTCTCATGAGCCCTTGCAGTTCCGCAGTCAGATTGAAACTTTACGCTCTACAGTATCACAGTTTATTTGCGCCGAGAATACGCCAGGTGAAGTAAAAACACAAAGTGGTAATTAAGGAAACCTGTCGCAATGCTATAGCCAGTTGATTCTCTACAAGCTCTACTATTCGCCCTAGTCTCGAGTTACTCGTGTGGTCGTTATTAAACACTGTAGTCTCCCGTTCAAACATAACCCTAACTTCATCACAAATATATGGCCATTTGAGGCGTACATGAGAAAGATAGACAATATTAATCGAGATTAAGTAGGCAAAAACAAACAAAAACAAAAGCTCAGTGGATTCGGGTCATCAGCACTTGCTCTTCAGTCTAAGTTCTGATCGTCTTAGTGAATAGTAGGCTGACTATTAAGTTTTTGTTACTCATTCCTTTTTCTCTTTTACCCATATTCGAACATCGATGTTCTGGAATAAAGAGCGAGAGCCTTATCGTTAGGCCACAGCATGCTTGTTGAAAGATCATGCTATGAACACCATCAAGCCTCCCCACTTGTGGTTGTGTTCTCGTTGCTACGTGAGCTTGAAGATTAGAGTTGAGCTAGCACAGGTGAACGTTCTTCAAGGCCACCCTGAGGTAGACGAAGATACTGTAGAAACGAGCGGCCACAGTTTACAGACATATCCTGCTGTGCCCGTTTCTGGACGATCTTGGGCGGATGTGAAACGACAGACAGCTGCCGCTTTCCGACCATAGAAGCCTTTTGAGAGTATGCACCAAATATCCACCATCGAATGTAAGATGTCTGATGTCACGCACTGCAATCCTGTCACGAATCAAAAACTGCGAAAGCCCTTGCTGGATTAGGTTTTCCCAACAGCTTGGTTGTACGTCCCATCCGGCCGGTAAGCGTGAACTCCCTCGAACCTGGCCGACTGGCTGGCTAGGTGTCAGCCTCAAGGCGCGTACCACGAGCACAAACCAAATGTTCCACGTCAATGTCTCTGTACATGGCCATTAAGAACTTTTGGGATGCCAGGACTCAGATTTAAAGTAGACAGGGACAGGCTGACCTCAGAGGTAACAACGTGGGTGTCACGGGTGGCCGAGAAGGATTCCCCTGTCTCGCACAAGCCAATGACCGGACCGCTAAGTCACTCCAAACAACTGCGGCCCCTCGAATGGAGGCTAGCAGGATGTCTCGGGAGTTGGCGTCAACTACTGCTTCTCGTGACGTGCTGACCATTATTGGACTTGGGTGGATTTCTTCAAATCAAGCATGTTAGGAGGCTGGTGCATGACCTTATGTGGCTAGCAAGAAAAAACATTAGATGGGGGTGTTAGAGTGCCAACCCAGGGGAGACCGGGCCGAGCGGAGCCGTTGACTTCCGGGACCCACTCCGGGATTACCGGGTCGTCAACCTTCTTTTTCCGGGAGGCGCGGAGAAGCCGCATGCGAAGGCCCGGATCCAGAAACGGAACGCGCAAAAAGTCATGTACGGGTACAAACATCACCAAGCCCCGTCCGCTCCACAGTGGCTCTCTGCTGGGCATGGATCATCAGATCATGTCTGTTCACACACAACAGGGAATCCTCTTTTGCTCCCACCCCTCGCATATCGATGCCCTTGTCCCCAGACTGAGGGCGGGTGTGTGGTGGAGAACACCACCAGCAACTCAGCTGCGCCGGGAAAAAAAAGTGACAGGTCATTTTTCTCAACTATGCAACCAACACAAAAATGACAAAAGAGAGACGTGCAGGAGTCCCTGTCCCAACACAAGCCTCCCAACCATGGCACTGGGAAATTTTAGGGGCGGGACACAGCACAAGACGAAGAAAAAAAAGAGGGAACGGAAGCTACGCTGCTTAACTGGAAGGGGCATAGCAACGCCGCCCTACAACAAGCATACGGCCTGATACGTAGCTGCGAACCCGCCTCGGCCAGAGACAGGATGATCGATACTGCGTCGAACGGCGGCCTGCCTGTTCCGAAGAAGATCTGCGTCTCCCGCTGCTTGGATCCCGCGCGCCCTTTCCAGAGTGCTGGGCTCGCTGGGCGAGACTTTGTCTTCACACCAAGTAGGGATAATGTGGCCGGGACTTGGACAGGGCGGGCGGAATGGGCCTTTGATTGATTTTTGAGGCGAGCAGCGGCACGGCGCGGCCATCCAACAAGTGGAGTTTCATCCATATCTTGACCTGGTGATGGACTCGTCTGGACGTGTGCATGTTGCGCGTCAACTCGACCCTTGAACAATTTCCCATCTTCGCCCGACAGTGGTAATGTGATGCAGCGCCCCTCGCAGAGAGAGTAGGTGTGTTGTGTTTCTCTCTCGGCCGGCAGCCCTGTTTGTAAGACAGCCAGGGTAGCTCAGCCGTGTTTCAATATCTCCCTCGCTTTAGCAGCACAGAGAGCAAGGCCTCCCAGAGCAAAAGCCCCCGGTGATCTGCACTCTGTACTCTTCCCACCCAGATCATGCGCGGACCATGACAATGCCATACTGCATACCCTACTCCGTACACCCACCAACGCTGCTCCACTCGCCTTGCTCCCCAGCCTCACCTTGCGCATTCATATTTCTTTTTCTCTAGCCGGTTTTGATTCTCTCTAGGGATAGCAATATGTTATCAAAAATCAGCAGGCCGGGCTGTTGCCGGTCTCTGTGTCACATTTCATTCCTCCCCTGATATCGCAGCACGTAGCAGCTCAGAGCGATGGGGCATTGTCTGTAGCACCCCACCATCCAGCCCTGGTTCTGTCTAATCATCCTTCTTATTGCCCACCTTCCCTGTCTTGTGCAGCCCGACCAGGCCAAGGGCAAAGCAGAGCACCATGAAACCAGTCATTGCCCAGAAGCTGGCTCGGTAGCCGAGGAGGAGAGCGTCGATTGGCGCCTCCCGCGCTGCCGCCTTCTTGGTCACCACGCCCGCCACGACCTGCATGAAGGCAAGGCCGAGGGAGGTCCCGAACTGGGATGCCGCATTGAATACCGCTCCTGCCAGTGCCTGCGTATCTTCCGGGAACGCCTCGGACACAATAATGAGGCCGACGGTGAAGAGAATGTCGCCGCTGATCGGCTGCAGGAGCTGGGCGAAGAAGGCGTTGTACCAATATGGCCACTCCGGCTTGGCGAGCGCCATCAGAACCGGGCCGCCGGCGCAGACTATCGACGAGCCGGCCACCAACCATCGGGCAGAGACCTTGTGGACAAACAAGCCAGTGGTGAAGTTGAGGATTATGCCGACGACAAGGCTGGGGAGAAGTCGGGTGGACGTCTCCGTTGCGGACAACCCTTGTACCTCTTGAAAGCTGCCAGAGTCGAGATTAACCGTGGATGTTCCAGCGCCAGTGGGGCGCTTCTACTTACAACAAACTGCAGTATTGCTCCATGGACTTGAGTACCGCGAAAGACAACAGCATGGTAGCGCAGACACTCGAGAAGGCTGTATTGCGCCATAAGCTGTTTGGTATCAAGGCCGGTTTACCGAGGCGCGTCTCACGGTGAACCCAAGCGACAAAGGCAGGCAAGGCGAAGCCAGCCGCACACAGCGTTGCAATGCTGTCTCGATGGCTTACACTGCCAATATCGGAACTTACGACGCTTGATGGCCATTGATTCAGCAGCAGCCTCGACATGGCATTCGGAAGAGGATCAACTTACGCGAAGAAGTACGACAAACAGACCATGAACCCGGATGCCAGAAGCGAGCCAACCCAGTCCATTTTTCCCTTCAATTCGTGGACAACTTCAGATGCCGTCCGCCTGTCCCCTGACTTTGGCAGCGCCCACAGTCCGACGAAGGACAGCAGCAAAGACAGCCCCCCGGTCAGGTAGAAGCCCACGCGCCAACCCACTGTATCTACCAGCACCCCGCCGAGCACCAAACCAACCGAGAATCCCAAAGGCTGGCTCAGTCCAAGACATGAAAACGCCACGTTTCTGGCTCTGCCGCTCGGGATGGACTGCGTCACGAGGCTCACGGATGATGCCAGGTGCATGGACATGGCGACGCCTTGGAGTGCACGATACGCCACGAGCTGCTCGCCTGACTTGACGAAGCCGCTGGCCAGCAATAGAAGGGCCATGGAGAAACAGCCGACGAGGTCCACGAGGTGACTCCCAGCCGCGTCGGCGAGCGAGCCGACAGGGAGGATTGTCGATCCCACGGCAAGACCGTAGACCGATATGGGCCAGACGTGCAGCTGCTCCGGCAAATTGAGCTCGGCGACAAGCGTGGGCAAACTGACTAGGATAATTCCGTTGACAGCCGAGGACAAGAAGTTGAGGCCTGACAGTTGGAAGGTTGTCGCTGCTTGGCGAGCTTTGGAGATTGTGGTGCCATCACTCGGATTCTGTCTCTCAGTCTCGAGAGGAATAACATTGGTAACATCTCGCAAGTCAACCGACTCATGGCTGAGTTGGGTGGTTGTCACGGTCGACATGACGAGGGATTGAGTTGGACTTTGCAAACAACCAAGCCCCTTCTTGGTGGGACCAACTCACTGATATTGGTCGATTTTGGATGACTCAGAGTTGAGCGAGACGACTATCGACGAACTTGTATCTAATCAACGGCTATTTTCCGTGACTCAAGACTCAATGTCACTCAACGTTGCCCAGGCCTGTATTCACAGCATCATCATAGTGAAAAACTGAGCGTCATAATCACAAACTAACATCATGCTGCTGAGTGAGGAAAAATCTCAAATAACGAGCATGTCAGTTGCTGAGACACAATTCGAGAGACAATCCGGAAAGTCTCTTTGAAAGTATTAAGACTTTCCTGTGCAACCGCACTCCCTCCAAGAGCGCAATTCGCCCTACATCGCGGCGGCGTTCTCTTTCTAGACGCCCTGTCTCGTCTCACAGCAATCAACATTGATACCATGCCGTGCCAGACAAGTCAGCAGCGCCCACTCCCCCACGCTACGTCCAGCCTCCTGCAAGGTTCCCGCGACTTGTCACATTGCATCACATCACACACACAGACACACACACACGCACCCATAACCTACCTGCCTCACAGTATTCCAGATTCTGTATGCTTACTATCCGTATCCAGCAGCGTCAGGCATAGCAACTGCCCTTGCTTTTCTCCCCTATCGCCCTTCAGTCCGCTGTCAAGGGCCCCGGTCACCGAGGCAAACAGCGCCCGGGGAAGCGTCAACCAAAGAATCTGGTCACATTTTTTCCTTGCCGTTCGCCCGTCCGTCAATCAGCCAGACCTCGGGCCAAAATTGAATGTTACTGTGTGTTTTGGGGCGGGCTGCCAAACTTGCGCGCAAGCCTCTTTGAGACCACAGCCTGCGTCTAATAGGCCAGCCCGAGTTGCCTAGCTGCCTGCCAGCCGCATTTACACGGGAATAGGTGCAGTTTTCACAAACGCCATTTCCGCAGGACGACCTCCCCTGTCCCACTGCGCAGCGCCGCACAGCCAAAGTGCCAGAAGCACCTCAAGAGGAAAAAACACCTCACCCTGCACGGAAGCTGTCCATGCAGGCAGTTTCCCTTCCCGCATCCTGACCTGCAAACGGATCCTGCTCCGTCTCACTCAGCTTCTAGTTTCCACCACCTACTACTTACTACCTTACCTTCAAATCCCGAACTGATACACACCAAGGACTGTCAATCACGAGCATACGCCCTCTCGGCTCGCTTGCCGCGGGCCAAAAAACCAGAAGTCCTGAGTCGGGTCACGATTACGATTGATGCCCGACCCCGAGAGCCAAAAGGAGGGGTAAAAGGAAAGAAAAAAAACAGTAGACAAAAAAAGCTCGAACAGAGACCATCAAAACGGCTTAGTGGCAAAAAAAAATAAAAAAATCCTCAAGGGTCTAAGTCAGCCCAAAGACGATGCGGAGAAAAATCTGGATTTTGCTAACCCCCTCCCACTCCCACCCCCTCCTCCCTACTTCACACACACACACTCCAATACCGTATCCGTACCGAGAACATGTAATTGATAGGTCCAAAGTCGAAAAGAGTCCAGACCACCACCACCACCGCGACTTTCCTCCCATCTGGCGTCACTAGCCTCTTTTCCAAGGCGGGAGATCGGCGCAGAAAAACGTCGTCATTCCATTCCTCGAGAGCCACTCGCGCTCCCCCTCCAAAGGAAGAAGGGTCGTATGCATTCGCCGCCTTGAGAGGCAGGCCGATTGGGCACGAATGAATCCGCCGATCCCCCACCTTTTTTTTTTTTTTTNTTTTTTTTTTTTTTTTGCTGTAAGTCTGTCTGGCCGTCTCCGCCTCGGGCTGTTTCCTCCAACCTTTCGGCCTGTCAGTCCGCGAGGCAGCAGCAAGCAGCAGCAGACAGGAAGAGGGGAGCTGGTTGTCGTTGGAATGGGAACCGGACCGCCGCCGCCACTCTGACCCCATGTTACGGCCCATGTAGTCACCGATCACCCGCATGAAGCTTACAAGGCCATGTATGTAATCAAATAAGCGTAGGGCAGAAAGATCGACGGTGAGGCGCGTGGGATTGGGTGGCTTTTGTCCCTCTCGTCTCTAACTCCCCAACCCAACTGAGTGAATTTCATGTGTGTCAAGGCCTCGGGCTGTCTACTTGCTTCTTCATCTTCTTCTTCTTCTTCTTCTTCTGAAGATGTCACATTGCAATTTGACTGGCTGTATCATTCATGCAAACCGCACCCTCCATCGCTTCTCATGTGTGATTGTGACAGATCCAAGACAAGATACGTACAAGTACGTACATACATGCATTTCGTGATGGCAGATGTGAGGAGCAACATGGAGTAGGTGCAGCCGGCCCTATCCATCTCTCTCCACTCACACCCAAGGACCATGGTACAGCTGATTTGATGCCACGTAAATGAAGCAACAACAAGCAACGTAGTCAAACGAGTAGCCAACTTTGATGAGCGCAAACGAAATCGACAATAAACCCCACCCCGCCCTAAAGATGTTGCGCGCGCGCAAAGAGGCGACAACGACGCAAAGCTCGTGAGAGCATTCCGGCCTGATCTACTTACTACCAACCACTTTCCGTAGGTATACATGAAATTCTACAGGAGACATACACACATCTTTTTTTCTGTTTTGTTCTCATCCCTTCGTTTGCGAGTATCCGGCCTCACTTTTCCCTTCTTTTTTTGCCACCAAAGTCGTTCATTCCTCGTCATTCCTCTTTCATCCCGGTACGCCCATCTATGACCGGTTCCCAATATCCGTTTCCTTCCGCCACACCCTGCCACCCCCTTCCCATGATAGAGACAGAGGGGAAAAATGTACAAGCCTGTCACCCGCCTAGCGTTCTTGTTCAACTTCAAGTTCCGCCCTACTTGAAGGGTAGCATCCACCTGAGCCCCGCGCCTCCTCGAGCCTGAACTAGCCCATCGGACGATAGCGGCAGGATTTGTGTGCCCAAAGGCTGCCAAGGGGGGAACAAGCAGAAGAAGAAAAAGCAAGGAAACGAGAAAAAAAACAGAGAAAAAAGAGAAAAAGGAAAGAAAAATCCAAACCCCAAAGAAAATCAAAAACGGATGCCCCGTTCATGATGCTGACATGGATACCTGATACCTGCCCGACCACCTTTTGGAATGCGAGAATGATGAGCAGTTATCCTCCGATGAACTCCAATTCCACGTGACATCGTGTTGATAACTCGTCCCTCTGTCACAATGACGTCCGAATGCCGAGAATGTACATTTGGGGGGAAGAAGCAAAGAAATAGTAGAAGGCCGCCCATGGTGTAAGAAACAATCCAGAGAAAAGCCATCCACCGAAGCGCCGCCATCCAGAGTACGTTTACAAGCATTTCAACATGCCCCGAGATCCAGTCGTGTTCTTTTTCCGGCATGGTCCCAGGAGCGGGGGGAGCAGCAGCTGGCAAATCTCAAGTCCTCTTATCTGCTCCCGTGGGAGCCGGAGCCTGCCTGGTTTCCGCCGCCGTTTCCGCCAGATTCCTCATTCGCCTCGTAGAGGTCCAGGCACGCCTCGAGAACTAGAACTCTGCCGTTAGCTTGATTTGCGCGCACATGAAGAAAAGTGCCAAGGTTATGCAAAGCTTACTCTCGATGATCTGCTGTTCCCACACGCCATATTGATAATCAACCAGCCCGTGTCGCTCGATGCCGTCGCACAGACGGACCAATTCCTTGCCCATCTTTTCTAAGCCTTCCTTGCTGATCAACGTCTGGGATCGTTGGAGTTGGCGCCCTGGTTCCATCAAATCCTTCTGCATCTGGAAAAGCGCGAGCCACGCGTGGTTGAAATCGTTCCAGAGCTTGATCCGGTCTCCATGCAGATTTTGGTCGTCGAGGTTGAGTCCTGTGAAAATCCCTAGTCTTAGCAATTTTGAACGCGTAGGAAAAGTTGGCATCTGCCCCGAGTGGCTCGCAAAGCTTACCCAGGTCAACAACTTGCGACAGTAGCCAGTTAGAGACGTCGAGGAGCGACTGGCTGGCGCTCTCGAGGATGCCGTTGCGGACGTTTTGGAACACGCCCCGCAAAGCAGACTGGTACTCCATCCACTTCTCTTCCAAACCACCCGTTGCAGAATAATCCTGCTCCTCCATCGAGACGTCGGCACTTGCGGTCGGCTGCGGCATCCCGCCCACATTCGAGATGTTGGTCTGGTAGTTGGCCATCTGCGGCTGTTGATAAGCGGTCGCGGTGGCGCTCGCGGATGGCGCATGAGGGAGGTTGGAGGTTCCTGTGCTGCTACTCGGGTCATTCTGGAAGTACGACGTCGACACGTCTGTCGGTAAGATTGGTGCAGCTGCAGGCTGCCGTTGAAACTGCGCTTGGTTGTCGTAAACAGAGCCTGTCGCGCCTGTCAAGTTGTCGTAGCCCATCGTCATGGCCGCCGCGTTGTATCCACCGAAATTCTGCGCTGCCGGGCGGCCATCCTGGCCGTATCCTGAGGGGTAATGCATTGTGTTTGTTGCCATTGGCGTGTTGAAAGATCCTGCTACCGGTTCCTGATAGTTGTACGTGCTGTAGCTACCCGTGCTTCCCATGCCCCGCGCTTGTGAGGGCGAAGTGTTGAGCGGCGCCGGCCGGTTGTATCTCTCTGTTGAACCTGTAGCCATTGAGCGGCGCTGCTGCAAAGGATCCTGAATGTTGTATCTTGGGTTGGAGGTGGGATGCATGGGCGCTTCATTCTGCCTCCTACGGCGATTGGGATCATCCATCCCACGAGGGGTTTGGTCGCCGGTCGACTCCGAAGGCAAGCCTACCGTGTGCGCCGGCGGCAACGGAGCTGGCGAAGTGTACAGTAGGGCCAGGTTGGGCCTTTGGATCGGTCACGGGACCGTCCAGCGTGGTGTAGATTCCCTCGGATTTGGTGGTGGTGGTCGTGGTGGTGGGGGGAGGAGGATGATTTTTTTTTCCCCTCTATCTTTTTTTCTCTTCTTTCCAGACGCTTCTGCTGTCGGGGACAAAACGCGACGAGATGACCAGGAAGAATGAGTGATATCGT